TTCAACTGTTTGTTAGTACAACTACCTAATCAATCAACACTGCAGCAACTCCAACCATTTAGAAAGAGGCCAGAGACAATCAAGACGGCCTGCTGAAGTTTGAGGGATTTTCCCACAGAACGATCTCTAGAGTTTACAGAGAATGTCCCAAAAGAAACTAACCAGTGAGCAGCAGTTCTCTGTGGAACAATGTTTTGTTGATCAGAGGTCAGAGGAAAAAGGCCAGAGCATCAGATAGGAAGGCAACAGTAACTCAAGTAACCATTTGTTACAACCAAGGTATGCAGAAGAGCACGTGGGCAGCAGAGGACCACACTGGTTGCCAATCCGATCAGAATAGGAAAATGAGGCTGCAATTCACATAGGCTCATAAAAACTGGACAGAAGATAGTTTAAAAAAAACAAAACACAAAAAAATCTTCCTTGGTCTGAAGAGTCTCAGTTTCTGAATGCAGAGTCAGAATTTGGCATAAACAAAAGCCAAGTACCGATCCATCCTACCTTTTTCAGGCTGCTGGGGTTGGTGTAACGGTATAAGATCTTTTCATGGCACACTTTAGCCGATGAACCTGTGACATCGTCATGCCAATATGGACCAAAATGTCAGCACCTTGTTGAGACAGTGCCACAGAAAATTTAAAAGAAAAACAAGGGTTCAATACTTAACTAGCAAAACTGCAAATAAAGTGACCAGCGTATAACAGCACAAAAATTGTCCAAGGTTCGCAAATTGCACTTTGTCCCATTCTAACACTGCTTAACAGCTGACACAGTACAGGTCGTAAAAAGAGTCCTACTTTATTACGGTTCTTAAGGCCCAGTCTTTCAGAGTGATGGAAAAACCCTTCTGTTACTTTAGAACTGTGCTTAAATTTAGCCCTAGGCTTAATTTAAAAAAAAAAAAAAAAAAAAAGGGGTCACACCCACAAGAATCAAACAGAAGCCTTGAAGCTTATCTGTGGGTTAAATTGGATAATGGGATTTAAGATTTGCAACGTGTCTGTAGTAGTGCACAAGGTCGAGATAATGTGTCACAGGAAACACTGTGTCAGTGTGCAACCCAAACAGAAAACACAAACACTGCTTTCATGAAAATTTGACATTTTAATGGAAACTAAAATTGTGAACACTGGAGTTTTCTCTCTCTCTTTTTTTTTTTGTAAATTGACTATTACATTGTTTGGAATTTGAGGGTTATTATCATGCTTTGAAAATAAAACGAACATTTTAATGTGACACTTCTGTTAAATTCAAAAACAAAAGAAAATTAAATAATCAGACTGCTCACTTAAAAACTTAAATGCCAACCTGTAAGACATGAGAAAGAAATGCCATTGCCTCGTGTTTTAAGAAGGGCAAGAGATGGAGAATCGATGAGAGGAGGAGCAGAAATTTTTTTTTTTTTTAAAATGCATGAACACAAACAGCAGCCATTTGAGATGACAAAGAAAAGGAGGACGATTCGGCACATCATATCATCTCTTATGACTGAATCCTTTAAAAGGACATGTGTCGCCCTTGTTTACTCCCATTGTAACTACCTCTCAGGTGTCACTGAAATAAAAAAAATTTAATTAAACAAAACAAAAAGCCCTATGTAAATTTAAAACACTTCCAAGAGGCAATGACAGTTTAAAGGAGGGACAGTTTTTAAGTCAAGCACAAACACCAAGTCCAGCATTTCCCGTTACAGATGACTGATTACTGGATGATGAAGCAGCACTTCCGGTATTTGTTTTAAGAATCCCCCCCCCCACCCCTCCCACACACACCGTAAGTCAACGCGCTCAAAGTGACATTCAGCTGCTACAGTAGTGACTTCTCATCTCCGTCAACCGCCCTCTGTCTGTCTGTGCATTTGTCATTCAGTAGCTGAATATCTGAGTAGTGTACCTTTGGCGAAAGCAGATTCAGAGCTGTTGAACTGCACTTTAAAAAAAACAAACAAAAAAAAACAACAAAAACAAACAAATCACTTCGCCCCCCCACCTCACAACATGATCAACAACACGACAAATAAAAATATAATCAAGAGGAACTCTGGATGCAGTGTTTTCAATGCTCATCACTCCATCAGAACTATCTGAAGAATTAAGGAAATTTGTATAAAATTGGATGAGAGAAAAACAAACAAACAAAACCCATTGAGGGCAAATATCTTGACATTGGGATTTTTTTAAAAAAAAGAAAAAAAAAGAAAAAAGTAGTAGGTCTACATCAGCCTTACTAACTAAACATCTAGCGCTCATCAAAAATGAGACATTGAGATTTTTTAATTATTTATTTTAGTCACATCCTATTTGTGCATCTATGGATAAATTATAACTCAAAAATAAAACTTTTTTTTATTTTTATTTTTTTTT